CCCGCCTCGGCCTCCCAGAGAGCTAGGATTACAGGCGTGAGCCACCGCGCCCGGCCAGTCTCTGCTATTTAAACTTCCACAGCATTCATGATCTGTCACCCTCACCCTCACTGGTACGACACTCGGCATCTATTGACTCATACTGTCTATTATTGTTTTCTGAATATGCCCTGCTGCCCAGTGCCAGCCAGACACATCAGGACCTAGGTCTCCAGTGCTGCACAGAGAGTCTTGCAATCACTAGATGGTCTACTAGGTTGAACCATGTAAAAAATGCCATGATTTGATGGTTTTAACCCACACAGTGCTAAGTGCCTTTGGACAAGGAGACGAATATTCATTGCTCAGAGTATCCTGACCTGGGGGCCACATTAGGGCCTTCTTCTCAGCGCTGGAGGCCCTTTGCTCTTCCCTACGTCATGTCCCTCACTCCTCTCTGACATGGCCTCCTTTATGGCTTAAAACAAATTGTTTATAAAATGTGAAATCAAATGTCAATTTATTGATTTAAGTTGAGAACTAGAACTGCCAGGGTAACTAAATATTATTTCTCTCTTGCAGCAGAAAATCTACACTTGAGGAAAACTTGGCATCACAAAGTTGCTTGGTAAGCAGAGTATTCAGATAACCTCAAAGGGAGTGTACCCAGACTGCGGGACCTGTGCAGGGGTGGGCCAGCCCAGAGCAGACAGGCCATAGCTCAGCAGAGCCCATTCTTCAGCAAGCAGGACAGCATTGCAGCTGGGCTGTCTCTGCAGAACGGAGTGTGCTGTCCTGCAGGTGATGAGAATTGATCAGGGAGCACACTCAGATAGTCTCAGGGTCCTGGGGTGATCCTGAGCACAGCTTGGTCCCTGGTGAGAGCAGTTTGCTGTGGCCTACTGGGGACACCAGTGGTGTTTGACTTGGGTGATTTTCCACCCCTCAAATAATTAATGATGGCCCTTCTTCCCTCCCCCACTTCCTTCTTGTATTCTGCCTTTCTTCATTCCTTTCTTTCTGGGGCTCCTTTTTTTCAATTATAGTTCACTTACAATAAAACGCGCGTGCACACGCGCACGCACACGCACACATGCACGTACATATATATTTCTTTTAGAGACAGGGTTTCACTATGTCACCTAGGCTGGAGTGCAGTGGCTATTCATAGGTGTGATCATAGCACCCTGCAGTTTCAAACTCCTGGCCTCAAGTGAAGCCTCCTGCTTCAGCTTTCCAAGTAGCCTGGGACTACACCACGCCTGGCTAAAATGCCTGTATTTTAAATGCACAGCTCAATACATTTTAACAAATATATATATATACTCATGTAACTAGAGTCTATTTCTATTTAAGTTTTGGCTGATGTAAGGAGTTGAGGTTCATTTTTTCCCCTTATGAATGGACAGTTGTTCTAGCCCATTTGCTGGAAAGATTTTTCTTTCCCCATTGGATTACCTTGGTAACTTTGTTGAAAATCAATTAGCCATAGATATGTGGGTCTATTTCTGTACTCTGTTTTCTCCTCCATTGATGCTATTTGTATATCCTAATGACGGTGGGATTAATTATTGTAAGCCTTAGAATTGACTAGTGTAAATCCTCTAATTTGTTCTTTATTAGGATTATTTTGGCTATTCTAGGTCCTTTTTATGTCCATTTAAATTTTAGAATCCACTTGCCAATTTATTTAAAAAAAAGCCTTCTGGAATTTTAATTGGGGTCACATTGAGTCTGTAGATCAATTTGAGAAAATTGATATCTTAACAATATTGAATCTTCCAATCCATGAACATGGTACATTTCTTCATTTATTTAGATCTTCTTTAATTTCTCTCAACAATGTTTCATAGTCTTCCATGGAGAAGATTTGCACATCTTTTGTTAAATTTATTCCCAAGAAAGCATTTTTGTTTTAATAGAGGAATCTAGAAGCCCAGAGAGGTGAAGGTGACAGGGTATATAGACAGAGCATGGGGCTGGTGTTTGGGGTTGGGGCTCTATTCAGCGCCCAAAATGCTCACCGACAAGAAACAGCTGGTCATGGGGTGAGTCTCACTGTGTCCCTTCCATCTGGATATTAGAATCAAGCTGATTATCTGGGGACATGATAGCCAAGAAGTCTGTGTTCTCTTATTTCCTCTGCCCATTGAAATGAACCTTTCTTAGTCCTTCCTTCTGGACCCTGGGTGTCCTACACAAGTCAGTCACGGTTGCAACTCCTACCCAAGAGGAACTGCAATGCCTCCAGCTCTGGATCAGCCTCCTCAGGCTGTGCCCTGAGCTGCAGTGGCCAGTGGCCTCTGTGGGGCCTTGCTTGGACAGCCCTGTCCTAGTGGACTGGAAAATGCAGTGGAATCAACCACACACTTGGTAGGGGAAGAGAAGCAAAGAGATGGATGAGAAGAAGCAGGGTGGGAGAGAGGAGCTGACTGACTTTAATGGCAGAGCATGGAGGAGGAGACCCACAAATGCCTACTGCCTGGGGGTCTACCAGATAGCCTGCTCTAAGAGCTGCCTTGGGTTTCCAGTGGCCTTCAGGTCCAGCGCCCGGGAGGCCTCACTCTCCTGTGCTTCCTGCTTTTCCCACAAGGCCCAGGTGTTTGGCTTGCCCAGGGTTCCTTTGAGGTCCGGCCCCATGGCTAAGCTTCCTATGTTCCTCATTTCCATGTGGATTCCAACAGTGGTGCCCACCCACCTGCATGAACTAACTCAAGGGGACTGCTGCTCCGCATACCTGGGAGCACCAAAGTTACACGTCTGGCTTCTCTTGGGGCTATTGTGTTCCTCAGTGTGAAGCCTTGTTTTTCCCTAGGTTACTAGGTTGTGTCAGTGCGTGTGTGCGTGCACAAATATCGGGGACTCTGCACTTTGTCTTTGCAGTTTTGTCCCACACAGCAGAAGTCTTACTGATAATTTGGAGGCATCATGGATGGGGGCAGGAATCTGAAAGGCCGCAAGGAGGACTCGCAAGAACTGGAGTTCTCAGGAGAGATACTTGGGGGGGCGGCGGTTCTTGCAAGACTGCCTTGAAGCAGGAGCACATTGTTCCCAGTGCCATGTGAGGAGGAAAGGACGCTATGGGAAAAATATTTTGGCTTAATATAAAGAACTTTATAGAAGTTGTACAACCACAGGACAGGCCTCCTTGCCTGATTGTGATTTCTGTATCCCTGGAGTATACAAGCAGATGCTGTCAGAGATTCCTGCATTGGGCAAGATCCATTTGATTCTGTTTCTAACACTTGACTGTGAGCCAATTAATGCTCTTCTCCCAAGAGGACCTCTCCTGGGGAAAGGAACCCAAAGAAAGAAATTTTTGAAGGTGAAATTTCAGGAGTAGTGACATCAATGTGGAGAAGTGTTTTTGGCCAAGGACTTGCATTACCCATCATACTGTGCTGTAGCTGGTATACAAGACCAGCCATAATCCATTCAACCATGTGGAAATGCCTTCCCCATCAACGTCCTCACCAATCATTTGTTTGGCCACATGAGCTCTCCCAAGCCAGTTGCACTAGGCCTCCTGCCTCTGCAGCCTCTATCCATGAGAAAGTACCAGAAGGGTTGGCATCAGGTCTGGAGGAGAGAGGAGAGGACGCAGGCTGCAGGAGACGCCTACTCAGGCACTTCAAGGAGAGCATCCTTCTCTCAGCATCAGCTCGGAGCCAACTTTTCTTTCTTCTTATGACTCAGCCATCATTAATTAGAAAAACTGCCTGAGCATTCTTCGTTGCAATCCAAAGCTCTGCCTATGCTCAAGCTGTTGATGCTGTAGGCATTGCTCCTTTTTTATTTAAGGTCTCAGAGAAGGTTTGTCATTTCCAAAGGGGCCTCTTTGGAGGGACCTCCACCCCACTCATTGGTTTTTGCAGGGTGGAGGACAACATGCTTCCCAAGATGCATGCCTGGGGTCCCACATCAGGGAGCAGTGCTGAGGACCCGAGATGAGGAGTGCATCACTCCCCTCAGGGAATAAGAGGCGTCACGGGGTAGAGAAGAGAGCCTGCAGGGTGTACAAGCCTGGATTTGTTTGCCAGTTTAAACACTAATTAGCTGTGTGACCTTGGGTGGTTTATTAACTTCTCTGAGCCTCAGTTTCTACATCTATTAAACATGAGGTGCTGGCATGTCTTATAGTTGGTTGTTGAGATTATTCCATGAGAGGCTGTAGGTGGAAGCACCTGTTGTGGTACTCGGCTTTGCACTGGAGCTCAGTGAATGCTGCCTCCCCAACTCCACCGCCCACTCATCCCTGGGAACTCTTCATTCTATCCAGGCCTTCTTGGCGGCCACCCAGCAAGTGCACTGGTGGTGATGGGCACCGAAGGAGCAGTTGTATTGGATGGAAAGTCTTGGTGCCTTTTAGAACTTCCAGATAGGTCCATAGATAGAGTAAGTGGCCACTTCTGCCATTCCAGAGGATGACTTGGGGAGTGGACACCAGACTCCATCTGTTGCTTGCTCACTCCCTACTGTGACGTGGCCTGTAATTCCTCCCATTAGTCATTTCCATTTTCTTATTACCTTCTGGCATCAGTAGGTTCACCTGGAGAAGTTGTCTGTAGTCTGGACAGCCCAGTTGTCTGGGCTGGAGGGTAGAAAGTCATTTTCAAGGGTGGAGAAGAGGAAAGCTAGGCATGTGGGCTGCCTCTTATACAGTAGCACCTTGGACTCTTCAAAAGTAAAATTAGTTGGCTGCCACCTTGGAGCAGAGACTCTGTCATTTACCTCTTTGGTTGGAGCAGTGAGTATAGGCCCTGCCTGCAGCAGGAGCTCATCAACAGTTTTTGATGATCCAGTGAATGGCTTTTAAAAATTATAGGATTCTGACACGCGCTGCAACATGAATAGACCTTGAGGACATTATGCTAAGAGAAATAAGCCAGACACAAAAGGACAGTATCGTATGACTGCACTTATACGAGGTTTCCTAGAGTAGTCAGATTCATAGAGACAGAGTGATGATTTTCAGGGCCTGGGGGAGGGGGATGGGGAGTTATTGGGATGATGAAAAAGTTCTGGAGATTGACGGTGATGGTTGCACAACAGTATGAGTGTGCCTCATGCCACTGAACTTCACACTTAAAATTGATTAATTTTAAGTTATGCATATTTTACCACAACAAAAAATTATATGCATATAATCTAATCAATGCCTCAAATTTTAAGTATTATGATATAATTATTTCTCAAAGGTAATACTGTCAACCAACGTTTGTGAGGTATAAAAATACTGCTGGGATTTTTCATTTATTCAGCCAGCATTCCTCAGCTGCCTGCTCCACCTGAGCCCCTGAGCCCAGCTCACGGATTTAAGGAGTCAATCCCATGGCTCCTCCTCCAGAGCTCAGTTCTGAGGGTAAGGATGAAGACCCGGTCACGAACCCCTGATTCAGTAAGCGACGCTTGTACTCGGGCAGCTGAGAGGAAGAGACCAAGGAGGAACTGGTTCATTCTGCTGGTGTTTGAGGCAGCGTTCAGCTGGAGCCTGCTGTGTAAAGAAGCTCTTAAAGGAAAGAGGGAAAGGCCACCAGGAGAGAAAGGTGGAGCCAGCCCAGGACACAGATGAGGGTCATGACAGTGTCTGGCCTGTCTGAGAAACAGCAGGAAACCTCGTAGGGCCCAGAGTG